TGTTGTATACGAAACCGTCTTGATCCACTCGATTTGCTGTAGAATTTATCAGTCATCCAAAATCGATAGAAAAAATAACAATTTTTCGAGATGAGGAGTAGAAGTGAAGTGAGAGGAGTGGAGAGCTTTGGTAGAAAATGCTTTTTGGAAAGCCTCCAGGCGAAGAAGTTTGTCTTTGATGAGATACGCTGGTAAAGATACAACTAAACATTATTTTTTCTTTTCTTGATTTCTATGCGTGAAGCGATACAAATCCAACCGGCGAGGCATGTACCGAAATTGAAACAATATCGAGTTTTCCTTACAAAAGTCGATCTGGCCGTTTTTTTATCATAATCTTTTGCTGTAGAAACCATCGGGTTATGCTTTAGTCGATATGTTCGACAAAATGGCTTACTCATACTTATAAAATTCGAACGTTTGCGTTTTCACTTCTGAGGCCTGAGGTTCTGACAACTCAAAAGTTCAACTTTTAAAAGTCTGAGTAAGCCATTTTGTCAAGCATGTCGATTAAACCATAACCCGACGGTTATTACAACAAAAAAATTATGCTAAGAGGAAGACCAAATCGACTTTTATAAGGAAAAACCTGATACCGATACAAGTCAATAACGAAACAAAGCTGATACTGTTTCCGTATTAGTGTACGCCTACTACCGACACATATCTCATTGTACTGAGTTATTGTTAAGACTTGCGACGTCGGACTAAATTTTATTTATAACTTAGAAAAAGTTTATTGCCGGTCCACGTATGAACAAAGAAAAAGACTATTCAGTTTAATAATCATGCTTACCTTCAATTCATTTAAAATATTAATTAATGTTCGATCAGTTACTTTTTGTATTTGGTTTTGTTGCAGATCTTCTCTGCAATAAGGACATTTTTGTATTTGTTTTGGTAGATTATTTAAACATTGAAGACAAAATTTATTTTGACATGTTAAATGCTGGTAAGGTTCAGTAAATGGATTTAAACATATACAGCATTGTAGTTGTTTTGATATTCTATCTTCATCTATATAAGAATACATTGGGTGATGATGAGATGAAGGTGACAAGATGTGTTGTTGATGTTTTTTGTTTTCGTCTTGTATTCTACTACAAAGGTACGGTAGGCATGTTCATTTTAAAAGAATAAGCAAGAGCAAATATCGTTTTTTTTCGTTCGTTCTTCTCCTTTCTCGACAATTTCCAAGGAAGTGATGAAATGTAACTGAAATAAAATCTTAATTATATCATGTATTTTTGTTTCTGTTTTTTTTTTCTTACTCATTATAGCAAGCGTACAACTGATTTGACGTCGATGATAATGGTCTTTTTCAACTGCTGATGAATCAATAGTGACTTCGGCGAACCACTAACTCGAATACACATGTAACACTTCCTCTTGATTCTCATCATGGTTTTGTTGTAAAATATGCAATGGATAATTACGAAATTTCCTCTATAGTTTATGATTAGATTTTTTTCTCTTCTATATACATAGAGATAGAAAACTTGATTTTCATATGGATGACTCTGCTGTTACATTAAATCTATATCTTGGAACTGAATTTACCGATGGTCAATTGTATTTCGGTGAAGTACGTTGTTCATCTCATGTTCGTAGTACCAGATCACGAGATGACGAAGAATTTTATCTTGAACATCAAGTTGAGACGGCATGCCTTCATCTTGGCAATCATCGACATAAAGCACTACCTATTACGAGTGATCGACGACTTAATCTTATCGTTTGGGTAAATTATGATATATGAATTTTAATACAGACAGAAAATTCTATTTATATCGTTGCAGTGTCGAACATCAAATTCTGATATGGACAACAACAACAATGGGCAGCAGGAATGTCCCAGTTGGTGTGGATTTCATCACATAACAAATGAAAATAATGTTTGAAATACTATTTTATTTTTTGTTAATCAGCAAGAAAAAATTCAAATAAAAATTTAAGCAAGAGTTTTTTTTCGCATTAAGATGACCACTATGACGAAGATTTATGACAAATATAACCACTAAAACTTGTTTGAATATGTATTGATTGAACTTTAAAATAATTATCAATGATATCTTTGAAATTTCGAATAGTTTCTTCATGCGAACAAACTATTTCGATCGCATCAATCGATGGTTTCTTATCTTTCATTGACCGCTTCTCACTTGAAATATTTGTAATAACAGCAATTAATTGTCTACTGCCATCGGATTCTTCAAATGTGACACATGTGACACAACTAACAAGTGCATTCAATTGTTCATAAACATTTTGATCACACCCGGTACATACAATCAGAAGGTCCACTTCTCTTTTCTCAATTAAATTTCGATGAAAAAATCCTTGTTGGAGAGAAATATAAGTAACATGTAAATAATGATCGAGTATACTGGCAGTTATTCGTGATAAGGGACTATTGATATCACTTCGAATGCATAATTCTTTTCGGCTTTTACCTGTTGTAGTATCGAAAGCCTGTTGTAAAAGTTTACCAAACTCGGCATCACGTCCATGGTCGAGAAATACCTGTTCATTAGCATATATTTCAGTAAAAATGAGTTTTGTTTTGGTTCATCGGCATGTCGAAATACATATGTATATACTTCGGGATGATCACGATGGACAATATCAGCCATACCAGCCAAAGATTCGAGGATCTTTGTTGCTGTTGTGTCTGAAGTTGCATCGAATTCGACATGTAATAACAAAGTCATGATTTTCTTTCTTCTATCTGTTTCATACAATAACAACGGCTGAAATAGGACACGATAACATTCTATTAGCTTTATGAGTCATGAGAACGACCTTTATCCTAACATCCATATAAGGTAATATAGATGGTGATGACTCATAGGATTGGCAATAATACAAATCTGATAATCTTTTGCACATAAATTTAAAGGATCAACTCTACATAGTATTTACTGTTAGAATATCGCTAGTTAGAATTGAAATGATGATTATCTAATGAAATGTTAGAATTAGACTAACACAGTATAACTTAGGAGACTGGTTCTTTGTCGAGTTAAGATAGTGCAAATAAATGTCTCATCTGATTGCAAATTAAAACATACAAAATGCTTTTGATTCATCAATCACAATTCTTTTTCTGATTTAATTTATCTATTGATTGAGGGATCAATTGCTGAAAGAGCAAGAGCAGATTGATTTGTATTCTAAGTGAATATAGGTTGATCTGTTTATCGATTGATAAGCCATCTGATGGTTAAGAATTATTACGACACTATCATAACTACTTTAGCTTTTTGGAGAGTTTTGATGCATATGTAATAAGAGAATTCTGAAGATACCTGACAGAAAGGACGAAACGATCATCGTGTCGATCTCTGAATTCTACAATTTTTCTTGACATGTTCTCGTGAATGTTTAGAAAACCAAAAGACATGAGGGATGAAATGTTGCTACTTGCCATTGTATGTATTCTGCATTTATTTCTATATAGACATAATCCCTAGTTATTGGCTTGATCTTTAATGTAATAGTCAATATAAGAAAATTATATGCATCTATATGTCCATGCACAGTCAGACGAAATGACTATCAATTTATTCGAACGTAATTATTTGATCAAGTTGCAATCATTAGTACATATACGAATGTGCTCAAAAGCTTTTCAACCAATGATAAACTATATCTGGTTCAAAAGCGGGTTTTTGATACATAATCTAGGTCTATTTCAGAATGTGAAAGACATACGTTGCACATTTGAAACAGATACAGGTGTTTGCAAAAAACTTGGAAACCTTCTTGCACGATATTACCTTTTATACAAGTGCTCCTCGAATTGTTTTATATTCTGGTAGATAACCCACAAAGAGTACTATATAACAGTATAATTTCATATTCTCTTTATTCACTTCTAGAAGAGATATTATACAAATATCTCGTTTTCTTGGACATAGTAGAATTATTTGTAATGGATATTTCAACTTTTTGGGCTTTTTCACCTGAAAAATGTTGGAGTTCATCCGTCTTTTTTTGAATTTCTTCTCTAAATATTATGTTGAAGTATTTGAAAAAGAACTTGCACATTTTGTTATACAATATACTCAAACATGCGCCCTGTCAAACTGTTCTTTTTGACGTGTTCTCGTGTTTTTAGCTCAAGAATTCGAAGTAGGGATATTAATGTTGTGAACAATTGTGTGATGTCTATGGAAAAAAGATGTTTGTCTCTTATAGATGGTATACGTGAACAAATAAAATTTTGAACTATGATATTCGATATTACTCGTTGTAGGCTGCCAATTCCTGTGAAAAACGTTTGAGACGGCGCTTGTTTGAGGAAATATTGTATAATCTTCAAGGATAGAAACATAATATGGATCATCAAGATTGCACCGAAACGTGTGATAGATCAATACGCCTTTCATTCTTTTCGTACCCCAAACATGAACTTTCTGACAATATTTAGGTAAGCATTTAAATTCTTTATCGGGAGTTTTTGCACCGGCGAAATGTATTACGAAAAAGCTGGAATGAAGGTGCAAATGTGAATATTGTATTATTGAAATCGTCACGTTTATGCTTCTTGGCCCATTGTACACGTCTTTCTTTTTCATCCGATGTTAATATGTGAGTAGGTAGATTGAGGTAAAACATTTTTATAACCGTTTTCATGAAGGTGACGACTAATCGTTGATGTAAACACTGATTTGTGGTGCATTTTCGATATATTTTCTTTTATTTCTTTAAGAGTTATTTCATTATCGTATCGAATGTATCGACTAATAGCTTTTCTTTCTTTTCCACCAAGGATACGTAGTCGACCACTTTCACCTCGATGTTTAAGTGAAACTGTTTGTTTTAATTTGTCAATATTGTAATAGATAGTGCTCAGTGGAATGTTTGTTTCACAATGAATAAGAGAAGCAGATCGTACGCCCTTGTTCCAATAATATAAAATTGAAATAGGACGATTTTTTAAGTTACCGGTTGACGGCATAATTGAATAAATATAACTTATTTGGAAGAGGAAAAAATCACGCTTCTATATATATAGCGTGTAGTATATCTATCGAGGCTTCATGATTGAGACCACTTTTTTTTGATGATTATTAATTAGATTTAAAAAGTGGTCTCAATTTGGAATGCATATATCCTCCCATTATGATGAAATTATGACATCATCTTTTATTGTAATTGAACACGAACAACAATTACGAGTACAGATCCATTTTTCAGTTCCGTTTTTATTTGAACGTTTTAACCGATATAAGTAACTTTTATATAATATACCATCCTGGTTTTTTATTAGTTTTGATACGAGAAAAATGTAGAATTGTAGATATGATAGGATTCGTAGAAAAATTCGAATTGAAATACTGTGTTTCAAGGTAATGCTACTCTTCATTTTTATGGCCTCATCCGATCCAGTAATGTCGCTCTCAGCTCAATTTAGTTTTAAGCATCAGTTTTGAAAAATATTTCAATCAGTTTCTGTCTGTACGGTAGCTAATCATTACTAATTAAAAAGTGATTCGAAATTATAAACAGTGTACAAAGCATGTGAAAAGAATAAACTCTCTATTCCAAATTGAGACCACATTTTATTTGTGTAAGAAACGAGAGAATATATGCATTCCAAATTGAGACCGCTTTTTCTACTATAAAATTTTCATTTCCAAATTGAGACCACTTTTTAAATCTAATTAATAATCATCAAAAAAAAAGTGGTCTCAATTATGAAGTAGCCATATCTATTAAGGGCTTACCTCTCGAAAAATGACTTTTGTAATTACTTATAACAGTAGAGAAAAACGTTTTAAGAAAAAGTTTTTTTCCAAGTTTTTTTGCAAACACCTGTAAATCTATTTTCATTGTAAAGAATGTTTCTTGCAGAAATAAAATGAAACGAATTATCCTCTCCTGTTTTGTTTTGTTCATACCATAACAAATCAGTTGACTTCAGCTAAGTTTTTCTTTTTCCTTTACTGCATAAAAGAGTACAATTGATCCAGTGAGTGATCCATAGGGATAGGGCAGTTCAGTTTAGCTCCGATCTTAAGAACTGTTAGTACAGTTCTTTTGAGAGGCACTGATCTTTGAGAACAATTCTTTTGATAGATACTGTCCAAAATTTTTTCCCCAGAACAGAACACTATTACTCAATATCCTCACGTGCCATTCCTAGAGCAGAACAATAGTACTTCCGGGTATTGAGTACTATTGTTCTACTTTGGGAAAAATCAAAAGAACTGTATTAACAGTTCCTAAGCTCGGAAGTAATCTGAACTGTCCTACCTCTAGTAATCCATTTGTCCACTAGCAATAATATGTACAGCTATTTCAATTTTTAGATGTTAGTTGTAATCACTTTTTTATCCTAGTCATATATTCGCAAATTCATATTGTATATAGTTCTACTCTTTCTTTACCTGAATTACGCATAAAATCTGGTGGTCATGCTTTAAATGCTCTTCAACGTCTTCTAAATTTTTTTGAAATTGATGTCAGTAATGTAAATTTCGATGGATTATTTTGTTTACGTATAGCACAAGGTCAACTTAATACTCTTTATCAAATTATAACTTCATCACAAAATAAATAAATTCTTTTAACTGATAAAAATACTATAATTCAATCATTATTTATACAAATTGAACGTATAGCAAATATAAGTTTGAATGAAATAGCACGTAAAAAATCATTATATTTACGACGATTTTCTCTTCTTGCATCACGACCATTTATTATTGAATATGAAACAAAAAAAATCAATAAAAGTTTCATTGAAAATGGTGAATCAAAAGAGTCTTATTTTGATGGAGAACAATCAGATAAATGTTTTGGTGAATTACTTGGTAAATTTAAAAAAAAAAAGAAGATTCAAATTTAATTCAAATATATTAATTTATTTTAGGTTCAAATGATCGTTCAAATTCAACAAAATGTTTTATTAGTGAATCACGTTGGAATATGATATGATGAATATGATCGTCTTACACATCAATTATTATGGCTTCTAATTGCAAAAAATCTTGGTTGTATTGGTACTCGATTATTACCAAATATTACAAATAAAAATTCAAAATATTCTGAAAATCTTTTTTGTGCTAATATATATGAAGATGCGAAATTAAATATAAATTATATTTAATTTCGCATTATATTATATAATTAATCATATTAACCCTTCCAGGACCGGTTTAATTTTTATATATACAGTGCTGTTCAAAAGTTTAAGACCTTTTTTATTTTGCAATATCTCGGCTTCCCTGATTGATAGAGACTTCATACTTTCGTCAAAAGAAAGC